CCAGAGCTGCGGTGTCCTGACCTTGGTCCTCACCTGCCAGACTTCGCCATTCTGTCCTAAGAAAGCAGCCAGAGTAAACCCAGCCCTGCCTTCAGGGAGGGCAGAGGAGAGGAGACAGGAGGCATCCTTACCCCTTGGTAAATCTGGGCCTGTATATCGCTCATTTAGTAAACAATCTCTTTAATAAAGAGTCTTTCACTGTATGCAGGGATGCCTGGAGGATGACCCGGTGTTACTGTGCTATAAAGAAAAACGATAAGGATAATTTGGAGACCTATCGTGATGATCTTTGCAGCTCCCCCTGCAAAGAGCTGCCTCCTTTCCTGATGCATGCTAATTTATAAAGAGCCCTGATTCCACTGCTTGGGGAAAGCTTTCATTTCTCCTTGTACTTGATGTATGTGATACCCTGCAGTGGAGAGCAGATGTTTGTACCAGATTCTGCTCCCATGGAAATCAGCAGTAGAAGACTCGGAGGCGAGAGGTGAAATAGGATCAGGGTTATCTCCTGTCCTCAGCTCAGAGCTCCTGTTACAGCCAAGCTGAAAGGCCAGGAGATGCCCTTGGACTTAGCAGCGTAGTCTCAAGCGCATGCCCGTGTCTCTGCTGGAGATGAGCATCCTGTTGTTTGCAGAGTCCAGTTACAGCTAAAGCTGAAAAAAAAAAAATCTGTCTGCATAAACAGGAATTTTCCTCAATGGCAGGAACCAGCAGAGGACACTGCTTTGTCTCCAGCTCTGAAAAGGCCTAGTGATTTTTTGTTCTTTTTCCTTTTGCCACCTTCCTGCTCCACAACTCTGGTGGCACCTTTGGCAGAAGAACACTCGCTGTCCCTTCTTTTTTATCCATATCCATCAGAGGATTTTGTTTTCCAGATTGTTTGCTGCTGCTGAAGCTGTAGCAATAACGTTCCTGTATAGCTTTACTTACGGGAGCAAAGAAACAAAACCACATGACAAATTGGTCCAATTTATCACAGCAACAGAAACCTGCAATTCAGCTAAATCGCCCCCACAGGCCAGCTTAGATGGCATCAATATTTAATGACCTGAACACCGCTGCCTTCACAGCTCCGGCTTCACCGCTGCCCCTCCTCATGTCACAGCGGGCCCACCCCCCCCCC